GGGAAAAGAAACTCTATGCTAAGCTTGAAAAATGCTATTTCTTAGTGCCTAGTGTTACTTTTCTTGGTTATGTCATGTCTAAAGATGGAGTTTCAGTGGATAAGTCGAAGGTGGAGGCTATTAAAACTTGGACTATTCCAGCTAATATTAGTGAAGTAAGATCTTTTCATTGCTTAGCTTCGTTTTATAGAAGATTTGTGAAGAATTTCTCTAGTCTTTTGGCATCTATAACCGAGTGTTTGAAGAAAGAAATAGGGAAGTTCGAGTGGCCTAGAAACGCACAAAGTGCTTTTGAGTTAACCAAGAAAAAGCTTTGTGAAGCACCCATACTTGCCCTACCTGATTTTACGATGCCTTTTGAGGTTGAAACCGATGCAAGTGGAGTTGGGATTGGAGCAGTTTTATTGCAAAAGAAGCGCCCTATAGCTTACTTTAGTGAGAAATTAGGAGGAGCTCGTTTGAACTACTCTACTTATGATAAAGAATTTAATGCTATTGTTAGAGCTTTAGATCATTGGAGTCATTATCTAAGGTCTAATCACTTTGTGTTGCATTCCGATCATGAAGCATTGAAGTACATACATGGACAACAAAAGCTCAATCCTAGGCATACTAAGTGGGTTGAATTTTTGCAATCATTTAATATTTCTTCTAAGTACAAAGAAGGAAAATCGAATGTGGTAGCAGATGCACTCTCTAGAAGATATACATTGCTTGGAATTCTTCATAGTAAATTGCTTGGTTTCGAATTGGTCAAGGAATATTACAAGGGAGATGATGATTTTTCTACACTTGTTGAAGAGTGTTCAAAGGGATCGTAGGTTCTTACTTACTATAAGATGGATTTCTTTTCAAAGGAAATCGACTTTGTCTTCCTAAGTGTTCTATTCGAGAGCTATTAGTTAGAGAAGCTCATGGAGGTGGAGTCACTTTGGCATTACAAAGACTTTGAATTTGTTACAAGAACACTTCTATTGGCCTAAGATGCTTGCAGATGTGCAATTAGTTGTATTTAGATGTGCAACTTGTCCAAAGGCGCGTAAAGGCTACTTTTCATCAAGGCTTGTATACACCTCTACCTGTTTTAGATTCACCATGAGAGGATGTATATATGGATTTTATAGTGGGATTGCTGAGAACACAAAGGGGGAAAGACTCAATCATGGTTGTTGTGGATCGATTTTCTAAGATGGCTCACTTTGTTCCTTGCCACAAAGTGGATGATGCTATGAAGGTTGCGGAATTATACTTCAAAGAAATTGTTAGACTACATGGAATTCTGAATACTATTGTGAGTGATCGTGATACAAAGTTCATGAGTTTCTTTTGGAAATATCTATGGAAGCTTGTGGAACTAAGTTACTTTTTAGTACATCTTATCATCCCCAAACGAATGGACAAACCGAGGTTACTAATCATACTCTTGGTGTGCTTTTGCGTGAACTTGTGAGTAAGACACAAAAGGATTGGGACATCAAATTAGCTCATGCGGAGTTTGCTTATAATAGATCACCTACATATGCTACTAAACATAGTCCTTTTGAGGTAGTTTATGGAGTGAATCCGAAACTTCCTATTGATCTTGTTCCAATGCCTAAGGGTGAGTTGGTACACAAAGATGTCGAGTCTAAGTTGAAGAGTATGCTGAAATTACATGCTCAAGTTAAAACAAGAATTGAAAAAGTGAATGACATGTATAAGGCAAGAGCAAACAAGCATAGAAAGCAAAACAGTTACAACATTGGAGACTTGGTATGGTTACATTTGAGAAAGGAAAGATTTCCTAGAAAATGCAAGAATAAGTTAATGCCTAGAAGTGAAGGTCCTTTCAAGATTGTTTAGAAGATCAATGACAATGCTTATAAGTTGGAACTTCCAGGAAAGTATGGAGTTAGTGCTACATTCAATGTTGGTGATTTAGCTAAGTACATTCCTGATGAAGAACTTCGAGATTGAGGACAAATTCTTTCGAATAAGAGGAGGAGGATGCAAGTCTAAGCATGGAGAACTTCGAAGATTTGCTTATCATGCATCAAGATAGCTTGTCTCTAAACATTGATTCAAGTCAAGCATTGCATGGACACTTTCTTGGATATCAAAGCAAAGCTACGGTTTCCTTGGTGGCGTTTCTTGGAGCCTAAACTAGTTTCTTTAATTTTCTTACTTAGATTTTGCTTACAAGTTTTTACCTTTCACTTGAAAGGGTTTTTCTTGGTTCAAGCATTAGGATCTTTAATCTTTTTATTAGTTTCTTTAAATTAATTAGGAATAAGTTAGTTTCGGTTTCTTTAATTAGTTAGTGTTAACTGATTTTAGGCGTGTGGTCTTGCTTGGTGAGCAAGCTTGTTAAGGATTGAAATCTTATCCAAGTCAGTTTAGAAGTCTAGTTTGCTTAGGATTAAATTAGGGAATTGTCCTAATCTTCCTAGGAGAGTCTAGTCTATAAATAGGCTTGTAAACACACGAATTGATCAGATTAATATGCATTATTTTGAGTTTAAACACTTAAGTTCTTGCTAATTGATGGATTTCAATTGTTGTTTTGCTTGTTTTAGTTAAAACATTTGTTTAGGTTGATTAAATAGGTGGATTCATAGTTCATTAATCTTAGTTTTTGTTTAGTTCTTGGTGGATTTCCTGTAGAGAATTAGACTTAAACATATCCCTAGTGTTTCGTTGATTTTCGGATCAATAATTCACATGAACTATTGACCTACTTTGAATTTCAAGTATAGAGCTTCTGGATATATTAGTGGATTCCTTTGACATGACTAGAACATTGATTTCATTCAATGATTGATTTAACTGTGGTACATCCAAACGTCAATCTGTAAAAGGGGACTATAAAAGGTGTATCCTGGTTACTTCAAAAGTTGAGTGGGAGCTTTGGTTGCCACAAGATTGGATTGAGTCTACCTATTTAATTAGGAATGTGTCATGGCCCCTTGAAGAGAGAGAATTCAGAAAATGCATGGCCGTGCTCAAATGGATTACATAGTAATCATTTGTTTTGTAATTCTAACTTAGTTTTCAAGAAAAGATTTGTAGATTAATATGATCACGACATGAGATGCAATCATATTATCAAATCGACACACATTGACTTAAGGAATTTGAATATTGCACACTTGTCTCAGACAAGTGGCAGATTGAAGAATTTATGTCTTCGTCAAGTGCAATTACTAGATATATCAAGGATCACTATTATGGAGATAATTAGTTCATTCTTTTGGGTCATCATTATTGTCTGTTGCTAGATATGATAAATGATCTTTGGGCTAGTCAAATAGTCCAATGTCCAATAGAATGGATCCTATGAGGTCACGCACAAGGGTATTGGTTTGAACAAGTATGAAGCCCATTAATGGGCCTGATGAGGTAATGATAAGCCATGTGAGTAGGAAGGCTAAAGTAGATTGTATTGGATTAGGAGTTTGGGCTTCACGTGGACTCTAGTTATGTATGGGATATATAAATAGAGTCCTTGCCTAGGTTTTGATGAGAAGTCATGATTTACCCATACAGTGAATTGTGAAACAAGCAACCAAAACTCCCTAACCCCTCTCTCTCACACGCCTCTCTCCTCCTCTCTCCCTGTCGGTACGGACGCCGAACCCCTAGTGGCGCACAATGGTGGTGGTGGTTCGTGGTTTGTTTATTCCTCTCCTCTCCGTAGAAGGTTGATAGAAGGGTTCAACCACAACTAACTAGCATTAGTGGAGGTTCAATCCTTGCCCGTGGACCAAATAGAGGAATCATGTTTGGGGTTCCAGTTCTCCTTATTGTTCTTGCTCGATCACAAGTGGAATCACGCTTCAAAGGTACAATTATATGTTCTTTATGTGTTATGCATAGATCTTGGTTATTAGATGCTTATGAATATGATTCATGTAATTTCGCTTATAGTATCTAAAGTCCTACAGGAATTATTATTTCTTATTTTTCCAAAAAGTTATCATTGAAAAAGTTATATAAGAGTTGAATCACCAAGAAACGTACAAATTAACATGGACAAAAGATGCAAATGATTTTCATTAATTAAGGATAAAGTTGGGACTACAATTGTATCATAAGGAGTAAGAATTACCTCCATATTCATACAATTGGAATGATCGAATAGTTTTCGATACATGATAATTAATCTAAACTATCGCTTGACTAATAAGCCAAAGGAAAAATAAGAAAGCGCTAAAAAAATCTTACAAAAATTGAAATGCTTTTGTTGATTCATCCATTGAAATGCAACCTTGACAACCACCTCCTCCTCCATATCCTCCAACACTACATAACCACCATCTTAAGGTTGCTGCCATGAAAGAGGGTAGGAAGGAGCGAGATAGAAGAAATTATAGAAATTAAAAAGAAATAAAAAAAACCCGATATACAAGTTGTAGGTAAATGAGATTGTTTTGATCAAATGAGGTATAAAGATGGGATTATTTTCAAATTATTTAAAAGTAGGATTATTTTGATCAGAAGTGACAAAGGTGAAATTATTCATTTTATCTATTACCTAATACTAAAACAAAACATGCTGACATCATCTCTCCTCTAAATTGTACACATGTCTCTCTTACGTTATTTTTTTTCCCGCCAATTTGCTATGATGATGTCATTAGTTTTTAAAAAAAAATTTACCTTTGTTTTTTTTATCTAAAACCTTTTATGTGTTTTACCCTTTGTCCCTATCGAATCCTTTTTTTTTTTTTACAGGTATGTTAATATTCCAATGTTCAAAAGTGTTCATTGTGATTTTTTATTATTTATTTTTATATTTTACAAGTAATATACTACGATTTAAATTACTTACCATGTATTTTTAAAAAAAAATTACGGAGTAGAAAACTTTCTTTGTTCGTATTATAAACAAATCTCACAATATATTTGTTTAAAATTCTACCTTGCACGACAACTAAACTAATTTTTTTCCAAAAAAAAAACATTTAAAAGATGAAAAGATAACAAAACCTTTTTCAAAATTTAGCGAAGATCTCATTTCTGTTTTTAGCCCATTCGACCGTTTGTTTAATTGCATAACTACGACTACATCTTACTTTCAATTTCCTCTTTCCAAATCATTGAATGCGCTCCCTCTCCTCTCTCTCTCTCTCTTTCCACCGCTTTGAGTTTTCGAGATTTGCATAGGCACCTGAAACTCCTCTCTACACTAGATCCAACCCAACCCACCACTCTTCCCCAATTCACTCCCACTATACCCTCTTCTCCTTTCAATCCCCCATTTTTTCCAGATCCACTGCATTTCAATCCTCAAATTTTGATCCCATAAGACAATGGGGTATAGAGCAGATGATGATTATGATTATTTGTTCAAAGTTGTGTTGATTGGAGATTCTGGGGTTGGAAAATCCAACCTGCTTTCCAGATTTACTCGTAATGAGTTTAGCCTTGAGTCTAAATCCACCATTGGTGTTGAGTTTGCTACTCGGAGTATTCGCGTTGATGATAAAGTTGTCAAAGCTCAAATTTGGGATACTGCTGGCCAAGAAAGGTTTCTTTTCTTTTTATTCATTTTGTTTTTGATTGTTGATTTTTGGTAGATCGGTGCATTTTGATTCTGTTTATTGTTGTTGGGTTTTGATTTTTGGGTTTGATTTTGATTGGATCTGGTGCATTTTGTGTAAATGATTTTGAGTTTTTGATTGTACATTGTTCAACTGTTGATTCGTTTGAATAAATATAATTGAATATGATAAGTTGTGGATCTTGTTAATTTGGATTATCTTCTTGATTTTTGGATGTTCAATTGTAGTAATTAGATTGTTAAATTCTGTTTGTTGAAGGAATTTTGAACAGAAATTTTAGAACAAACTTTAATTTTACCCCATTAGAGTAGTGACTGTTTCATCGATTCGATCTCTGTTAGAGATTGGTGTAGGGGTTGAGGTTGTAATGTCTACTGTAATTGCCTTAAACCAAATTCACACATTTCCTTATTACCAGGATGAATGAAGAACTCGTATAATCATATTGTGATGTGTATGTTGTTTTGTTTTTGTTTGGTTAATAACTGTACAGACTTGATTGTTACATCATTGTATCCTGAGTTAATTTCACATTAGTCGGAGTTGAGTCTTTGGTGGATTTGGACACATTATGTTGTGATCCCATATATATACTGTATATATTCTTCAAAAGTTAAAAGTTTGGTGGAAATTGGCAGAGTTTCCATGTTAGGTTGTGATTAGAAAGTTTTTTTTAATGTTTGTAATCCATGTTTTGTAGCTGATCAATAGTTGTTTAATTGAGCATTACACTAGAATGTTGGTATTAGCAGCTGTAGATATATTAAGGTGTGGTTTTGGACTATTGATAAGGTCCGTTTTCCCTTTGGGTGTTAGAGAAGCTTGCGTTTGTTAGTAGTTACAATATTGTGAATTGTTTAGGGGGAAGGATAGGAAAGTAAAATGAAAGAAAGTGGATGGAGTATCGTTAAGCATTTGAAGAAGCAGATAGATTAGTCAAAGGAAACTTAGCAGATTATGGGGTTCCTTGAGTCCTACTATGCTGCTGCCCTGTATTGTTGCCGTTGAGCAACAACTTATCTGTTCGCTCTTTCTCCCACAAGTTGCACTCACATAATCGTGTAACACTGTTTGAGAGGAGGAGATCTCTTATGTTAGTTACACTAGTACTGAGTGAAGTGATGATAATCAATGGGTTAAGGCAAGATCACAAATAGTTTGCATTTGCATTTGATTATGTTTCATCTTAGTTATCTGACTACATAGCATTTTTTGTTAGAATGTTACTACATTTATTATATGCTCTGTTACTAGACTCTCTTTCACAAGGTAAAACCCATCTTATTTGTATATTGTCTTTCTTAGGTACCGTGCAATTACTAGTGCTTATTACCGCGGTGCTGTTGGTGCACTACTTGTCTACGACAGCACTCGTCACGTCACATTTGAGAATGTAGAAAGATGGTTGAAAGAGCTCCGAGATCATACAGATTCTAATATTGTGATCATGCTTGTGGGGAATAAGGCAGATCTACGGCATTTACGGGCTGTTTCCACCGAAGATGCTCAAACATTTGCTGAGAAAGAAAAGACCTTCTTCATGGAAACCTCTGCCCTAGAATCATTAAATGTCGAAAATGCTTTCACAGAGGTACTTACTCAAATATACCGAGTTGTCTGCAGAAAGGCTCTGGAAGCTGGTGATGACCCTGCTGCTGTGCCCAAAGGACAAACCATTAATGTGAAGGATGATGTATCTGCAGTGAAAAAAGTTGGATGCTGTTCAACATAGTCCTGAGAGTTGATTGGGTTGAGGGTGGTAAAGCTGTGTGTAATATTGGGGTGTTACTGGAAGCATCAAATACACATTAGAGCTTCTTTGCACAATTTATTTAGCTTCATGTTTAATCCTGTTCTGGAAAAGTGTGGATTTGCCTGTTTTCTTTACAGCTCAAGCCCCAGGAGTTAGTTTCCTTGATCGGATGAGATCTGCATTTCTGCTTCCATCTCACCTTAACAAGATCTTTCTCATATCGAAGCTGTACTATTGGCTTCAATATTTTCGTTCTATAATTAAATGTAATATCTTAAGATAAAGGTTACTTTAAATTTCACCTATTAAGCTTCTGCTTTTACATGAAGCCAATGTAACTTGGATATTTTCATATTATCATTTATCTAGATTTGGTTGTCCTGCCTCTGTATTATGTCCTGCCTATAAGGATTCAGGAGTATTCTTTACTAGATTCACAAAGCAGATATATAAACACCAGCCAACTTGCATATCACATTTCCTATAGAAGAATCATTATTCTTGATAATCACCAGAACACTAACGACGCCGAGACCTCAGTAAGTACTACTAAAAATGGATTAGACATGTAGGCTTCATTTGGTTTGATGTAAATTGTTTTAATGGAAAATGATTATTCCATTTTTTCTATTTTCCTTTGTTTGGTTTTTGAAGGGATGAAAAACAATTTTTCCAATGGTGGGAAATTATATCCTTTATGGTGGAAAACATTTTCCTGTATAAATTAAAAGAAGCCACATTTTACTTCCCTCCTCCTTGCCTTCTTTTTTACTTTCCTCCTCCAACCTAACAAATCCACCTCTGTTTTTAATTTCTCTATATCTTTTCTTGATGGAACCAAACAACGGAAAACTAATTTGCAATTGTGGTTTTCCTTGAAAAAAGGTTTTCCATGAAAACTAATTTTTCATTGAAAGTGTTTTACATCAAACCAAATGGGGCCGTAATGTGGGGTGATTTTCGTATCAGCCTTATGTGAGAATGCTACATTGCTACTGCTACATATTGACATGTAATTCACTAGTCAGTTGCAATTTAAGATAAACTAGATAATTCCTGACCCATGTTCGGTTTTTAAAATTAATAATAATTGAAAATTAAATATAGAAATGTCTAGAAAAATGTGCATAATAATAAATAATCATATGATAAAGTTTTTAGACAAACTAATAATTTTGTAATAATCAACAAAAAAAATTAAAAAAAAAAAAAAGAATAAAATAGAGTTTAGGAGCGAAATTTTCCTCCAAAAAAAACTCTGCTTTACTACAGGTACATAGATTTATTGTGTATCATTGCTTGTGAATTGTGATTTACTTCAAGATGTGATGGATCTGTTTGTATGTAATGTGATTTAAAACTTATTTGAATTTGAGTAGGGACATTTATGAACACCATTCTTCTTCTAATAGTTCGAATTTTTCAAAAAAAAATGAATAAAAAAATAAATAAAATTAAGAATTAGCAGAAGGAGCAATTCTACGCACGAGACCTAAAGTGTCTCACTTTTGTAGAGTGTCGTTTTGCCTTAGTTTTGGCGCCGCGCACACCATTGGCGCTATTGCGGTTGACATAAGCCTTGCACCCGGTGCCAAAATCAAATTTCTAAATTCTCTTTCATGCCTATAAATAACCCTTGACTTCCATCATTTCGAGGAAAAAGTTCGGAAGTTTTAGAGAGAAAAATTGTTGGTAGTTAAGTGCAAAACACACTTATATTTTATAAAAAAAATAAAAAAATTAATCTCCCAAAATTAGTACTCCCTTCGTTTTTTTTAATGCTAGAGTTGTGAATACGCAGAGTTTTAAGAGGTTTTATTGACTTTAATAAAATAAGATATTAGTAGGATAATTAAAAAAAAAATTGTAAGAAAAGATGGTGGGGTTATTATTTTATTGAAAAGTAAAGGGATGTGAGAGGGGATGGGACATTAAAGGAGTGAGAAACGATAAAGTAAGATATAGTGGGACTATTGGTGGGTAAAGTTATATTATTAAAACTAGATACATATATCGCAGATTTGAGCAACAATCGCCTTAATAAAAAACTTCATCCGAAGCAATACAATCTGTGATTTAGCCTAATTCGGCTTGAGATCCACTAATGAATAGTTGTTTGAGTGAAAATGCTCATAAAAAAAAAAGAAAAAAAAAGAAGAAAGAAATTAACCCTTATAGAATAACCACCATCTCAAAGATAAGATCCATTTATTGAAAGAAATTAAAAAGTTTTTTGGCACCGATTGAAGCCCCTACAAAGATTCACAAAAGACAGTAAAAGAAAAGAGATGAAAGAGAAAGAGAAAAAACAAGAATAGTGAAGGAAAACCTTCAAGAAAGCAGAAAATATCTAGCATTGAAGGCTAGAAAAACCCTTCCAAGGGATACACCCTAGAGGGAACCAGAAAACCCTCCCAAAGAAACCCTGCCCCCTCTTCCGTATTCATATCTCTTCCCCAATATTTTTTCTCCTTGAGTTAAGAAAATGCTCTAAAAGGATTACCAAGGGGAATCAAGTTAAAGTAAACATTGTACTCTGTATATGCTTAATTTTTAAACTAAATCTGCATTACTCTTGTAAAATTTGTGCACGTTTTTAATCTAAATTGTGCATATTTACTGAGTTGAATGTGCAAATTTTTTGTACTAAAGGTGCAATTTTTTTCAATTATATGTGCATATTGCTAGCTAAACATTCTCCAAATGACGTAGACGGTCGATTAATCCTTATTATTAGGTTTACTAGATTAGTATTCGTACGTTGTATGGTGATGATAAATAATTTAACCTAATTTATATTATATGAAATTAATCGGTATCATATGTTTTTCATTTAGTAGGATTATAAAAGTTTACTTGTTCTTTCATTTCTTTTAATGTATTTATTCCATAATAAATGAGTGTATTGAAGTAATCAAAGAATCAATTTAGTTTTGTATGCGGCTTAAGAATTTTTTTTTTTTGAATATATTATCAATACCTCCATCCAGAAATACCATCTCAATGCTATATATTATAGTCATCTGGATTATCAAAGCTTGGTGGCTTCCATAAACGTATTATTCGTATCTTAATTGTCATATTTTCCCTTAAGTTATGTCTTCAATGAACTCATATTTTTGTGTAGACATTTTCATATATCCTGAAAGAGAAAAGTTACTACCGTATAATCACAATAATTGACATCAATATGGGTAAAACCAAATTGCAAATTGAAGTGTGGAAGACAAATATTTTTATACCTTCAGATACATAAGACACACGGTGAACAAAGGTAATGTTGAAAAAGAAATGCAATGCACATACATATATTAAAACAAAATGTCAATCACTTTGGATAATTATTGCTTTTTTTATTTACACCTATCATCACAATTAAATAGGAGGAGATTTTGGATAATATAACGTGAATACAATTCACTTTAGTATTGAGTCCAAAAGTCAGTCACTTTTCATTTTGATAGTTTCCGTATTCATAGGTTATAGCTTATTTTTTGAATGGATATAGGTTATCTTATGAACTTTGATAGTTTCCGTATTTATAGGCCAACAACAGTAGTAGAGTATGCATTATTATCTTATACATGTTATTATACATATGTAGTGTAAAAAAAAAATCCATTAATGACATCATACAACAAAATGGCGGGAATTTTTTAATGAGAAAGCGACACATAAGATAGGGAGGGGGACATATGATGTCAACAACATTTTGTTTTAGTAATAGGTAATAAACAAGTTCTTCATGACCACTATTAACTTCTCATCTCTACAGTTATAAGTTAGAACTATGAATAAGCTTTAATTGAGGAGAGAGAGTCCATCACAATAAAGAGGAAAAACAATGAAAAAATAAAAGTGAAACATGAATGTGCATAATTTTTTGAGTTAAACATGCATAGTTTTTGAGTCAGATGTGCATAATTTTTAGGAGAGAGAAAGTGAGATAAAAAGAATGTATATGTTATAGAAAAGAGATGTCGGGAGGAGAAGAAAAGGTTAAAGATATCACATAAAAACTGGAAGATGAAATGTGCATAATTTTCAAACTAATTGTACATATTTTTTACTAAATGTGTATAATTTTACAAGATTGAAATTTGATCGTTAAATTAATTTACATGTTCAAGATTCCTTCTCATTTTAAGATCCTTCTTATTGGATCCCAACCTTAGCCTACACAATTTTCGAGCCAGGCCAAACATTATCAGCTCTACTTTATTCCTTCATTGTTGATTGTTTTGCTTATTCATTTTTAAAAGTATGTACGGATTTATTTTTTTTTAATCAATTTGGTTCAACTCATCCAGTTTCATTCACAACTTGGTTACCAGAGATAAGAGAGGATAGATAGGTAAAAAGAAAGGGGTCTTGAAATTCTTTGGTTTGTTTAAAGGTATGGGGATAATAAGGGAAATGGGAACAAATATTGTAGAGAGGAGAAAAATTAGTAAGCATAGTTGGTTTTTCTTATTAATCTAATCTAATTTTTAACCCATAGACAACATTTTTTTTATCCTTTTATCACGCCTATTATTTCTTTATCCTTATCCCACCTTCTTATCTTTTTTGTCCATATCTCTCATATGAAACGTCTTGTCTGTTTAATTTATACTCATGTAAGTTATAGCTCATTCACCAGAAATAAAGAAAAAATATTTGAGTATGTGGATATAATGGAAGATAATATCAATAGTATACCTTGTATCATACTGTTTAACTGTTATTACATTAAGCTTTGTTTTAATGTTCAACTAGTTAAACTGTGCAATGCATGAAGCTATAGAGCCTATACTTGATAAATTCTTGTATTAAAGATTTTATTTTCATTGTGAATCTCTAATTATTCTCAAGTAACAATAAGTACATAAGATAGGTTCGGATTGAATTTTCAAGTAACAAAAGGTGTTTTGAGATGGACACCAGCAAAAGATGCATCATTTCATAATGCATAAATTGCTTTCACTGATTTATAATATAAGGAAATAGATGGCAGAAATTATGCAAGGGTGTACGTAATTAATGTTGAAACAAAGGAAATAAATGGCAGAAATTATGCAAGGATGGACACCAGCAAAAGATGCATCATTTCATAATACTAAGTTTTTACCATACATGCTAATTGAGAATTATCTACGTCCTTGATTTCTTTTCTATGTATTACATTCTAAAAGACTCATTATTCCTTGACAAACAACAATACTAATAACAACTGCTTATTTGCAGTAAAAAAAAATCATGTAAATGCTAGATAGATCCTGTACTATATACTGTACTAGTAGCTACTTGCTTCTTATACTCTCCTTTATACACTTATGACTTCCTGTTAAACATTTCAGCCAATTCCATCTGGTAGCATTAGAACAGTATGAATTCGGCAGAGACATCATGAAA